TAAGAGATAAACCGGTTTTACAAAAAATAACATATAGATACATAATACCATTACATGAAAACTTTCAGTACATTATTATTAAATTACTGCGCATTGAATATTTATCATTTGTTTACGCATATTGTATTGTAAAAAATTGAAGTTTTCTACGTGTAGACATAGATACATATAACTCATATCCAAGCTACATTTAGAACTGATTAATAAAATGGCATGGATACGCACTTTGTAAACAATTTGGGAACATCAAATTTAATAGAGAACAATACGCTAAGAGCAAGGTAAGAATTTCGGAAGCCTGACGTGTCTTCTGTCGCACTGCAATTAAGTGTCGTGATACCTGATGATGTCACTACCTAGAAGGGAAATTGCTATCATTACAAATTGTACAAAAACAATAGGCAAGGTTTAGATATTTTGTAAAATGAGCTCGTTCGTCACAAGTAAAACGCGTTTTTCCTAGCAAAACATCTGGCAATGATAATATTTTGATGTGATCATACTTGCATTTAAAGCTTTGCAATAAAAACAAATACTTTAGATTTTGTATAAATGGAGAGAAGTGTTCAAGCAATAAGTAATATAACAGTGAATTAGTGAAAATAAACAAAAGTAACATTGCAAATATTTTAAACTTATAAATCACAGCAAAGTTTACTTAACAAGCTCTACTTGTGTCTGAGAATGTATTAATTAAATATTTAATTCTTACATAAAATAATTATGTAAAAATAAGATAAATAGTTACAACAATTTATTGAACATAAAAAATCAAGATATACTTAGATTGCTTTAGAATAGAAAAAAAATTTTGTAAAATATTATCAAATATTAATTTTCAAATATTATCCGAATATTATCAGTGTTATTAAACATGAAGTATGCTTCTACTTCTTATGTAACATGTCTTAAAGATAAATTTTATCTTATTAAAACATTACATTATTCAAGGAGTAGATATTATATTGCATCAAAAAATGCAAGAATAATTTCATTTATCCAATAAGTGCAAGCATTTTACCAGATCAACTTTATATCGTATATATCCATTTTTGACTCACATGGTACGCTTAAATCCACGAGTTCACAAATTCATGAATCCCTATATGCTCGAGATAGATTCTTAGACCCACAAGTACCAAAATTCATGCCTAGGACCAAAGATCCTTCGGTACGTATGCTTTGGCAAATTTTCGATCACACACTCTTGCATTCGTTCATTCATTTGCACATTCATTCAACTTTTATTCGCGTAAGCTTTTGGCACAAAGATCTCCAGGGACTCTTTTCTAACAGTACTGATGTTGTTACCACGTGCACAAACAGCATGAAGCTTCCCATGGATTACCATGAGTTATCATTATCACTGTCGGAATCGCCACCATTTGACAGTGTACCACCATGACAGTGACGCGTATAATCTCCATTTTAATCTTATGAAACCTTATACCTTTGTAAGAAAAAAATATAAAAAAATATATTAAAAAAAACGGAGCGACTAGAAAGAAGGAAAGAGACAGGAAAAAAAAGTAGAGAATGATGTTAGATGATTGCTGTTTCGTAATACCTCGTAGTTTCATGTGCAAGGAACTCGCTGGCGCACATCCTATGAGCGCGAGGGTACATGTAACGTACCATCTATAAGTACAGAAAACGGAGGTGTTGATCAATAGTTGATATATCAGAGACAAGGGCGTACTTTGTCTACATATATATACTTATATATAAAACTATCCATATATCACACACAGAGAAAGAGAATATATAAAAAAAATAGAGCGAGAGAGATAGCGGGATGGAGGAGTGGTAAGTTCCCTTTCTCTCATACGGCGGCGAGTGCAAATATTTAAAAAAAAAATAAATAAAAAAAGAGAGAAAAGGAGACACGTTCTCGCCATCCAGTACTTACAATGCGAAGCACGAGCGTGAACGAGACGGAAACGGCGGCGATCCAGAGATCAAATGAGAGAAAGAGATAGAGAAAAAAAAAGGAAAGTAAAAAAATGAAATCGATATAAAGTTAACAGAAAAGCAAGGCTTACCCCTTTCTTGTACGGCGCCTCCAGCATCGCCTCGACATCCAAATCCTCCGCCATTACGCGAGTCGGGGAGCTCTCTGAAACGCCACGCATTAGCAGACCACAAAGTTTCACGCTGCTTGCGGACAAGAGAAGAGAGATACGTGAATTATGGACGGTTCTTGGTACTGAGCTATCGGCTACAAGCTATAACGTACAGACGACAAGCGCTCGAAATCAGAGCGAACTACGACCCAGATTAACACAAAAATTGTTCGTTACACGACAACGACAGCGAGCGGAAGATCCAAGGCAAGATGGCCGATACCGGATTTGATGGACATTCCACTTCCGCTCTTAACGCTCCCACCGGAAGTGATGCTCATCACTACGTGAATCGTTCAGCAAGTGTTTGTCCGGCCATCGACAAAATACGATCAGATAGGCTTGTCAGATTGGTCTACTTTTCGCAATTTGGGCAACCTCGGCTATCTACCGCGCGAAAATTGGACGCTTTCCAATTGAACGCATGGCAGTGGTCAATCATATGCTGGATTCACACTGCATCCGAAACAGGATTCCGATGAATTTTGCTTCGTATTATCGGAATCCTGTCATCTGATTGGATGCAGAGCGTTGTACGACGAAAATCGGTTGCAGTGTGAATCCAACATTAGGCCGGAATCAAACTACGCATTGAATATTGATATTGAAGATTGAAAGATTGAAATTTGACCAATCAAAACAATAGGAGCTAAAATTTCTTTGTCCTCACAGGTCAAATTTTAATCTTCAATCTTCAATCTCAATCTTCAATGCGTAATCTGATTACGACCTTGGTTCTACATTGATCGCATCGCAGCGTCGCAAGCGTGTCGCAAGCGTTGCGGTCCAATCAACGTCAAGCTAGCTCAACTCTGATTGGACTATAACGCTTGCGACACTCTTGTGACACTGCGATGCGACTAATGTAGAACCAGCTTAACATAAGGCCAGAGTATCGATTCTGTATCTTGAGGCCCAATATTAAACTGATTCTACATTAGTCGCATCGCAGCGTCGCAAGCGTGTCGCAAGCGTTGCAGTCCAATCAGAGTCGAGCTAGCCTGACGTTGATTGGACCGCAACGCTTGCGTCGCTGCGATGCGACTAAGTCCGGATCTACAATAGGTGTTTTAAGACTTAAGCCGTAAGAAATTGACCAATTACTCCTGATCTACAATAGGTGTTTTAAGCCTTAAGTCGTAAGAAATTAACCAATTATAGTCGAATTCCAGGGAAATAATCGACTATGATTCATCCATTTCTTATGGCTTAAGGCTTAAAACCCTATTGTAGATCCGGGGTTACAATCGAATCCGAGGGGAATAATCGACTGTGATTCGTCCATTTCTTATGGCTTAAGGCTTAAAACCCTATTGTAGATCCGGGGTCGTAATGTAGAATCAGCTTTATGCGGGGTCTACAATAGACTACGTTTACATGAATCGATTTACGCCGAAGTTATAACATCGATGTTAGGAAACTGGCCTATCATAGTCATTCCATTCTTCGGAGGAACAGCTATGATTGGCCAGTTTCATAACTACAAAACCCGATTAAGGATGCCGTGTAAATGTGATCATAGAAGCCATAGCAGTCGTAGGGTCTTAAATCGTAGAAAATTGACCAATCACAGTCGAATATGAGAAGAATAATCAACTGTGATTGGTTAATTTTCTACGACTTAAGACCCTATGATCGCTATGACTTCTATTGTAGACTCCGCATAAACCTCTAGTCTGTCCTTAAGGTACTTTTTCATGCTGACGCTTGACGCTCATTTTCGGCGACAATCTAAATCACGTGATAGAAATTGACGAATATGAAGCGGTAATTTTGATCACGTGACCTACTTTGACGCTGAAAATGAGCGTCGAGCGACAGCATGAAAAGGCACCTTTATGCTTAATTCAACTGGACACAGCAAGCGTCAAGCAGCGAAGCAACAACCAATCAGTGAGGCGATATTTACAATGGCGTAAACAATAGCTGCGTTCAGCAGACTCAACAGTTTTGCAACCGTTTTATGATTGTCTGCTGAGATAGGACCATTCTTCTAGATCTAAAAGTATGATCCAATTAGCGCGAAGGAAACTTACAACAGTTGCAAAACAAACGTTCTGCTGAACGCAGCCAATACCGCCTTGCTGATTAGTTGCTGCTTCGCAGCTTGACGCTTGCTGCGTCCAATGTGAATTAAATATTAAGCTGATTCTACATTAGTCGCATCGTAGTGTCGCAACATGTCGCAAGCGTTATGATCCAATCAGAGTCGAGCTAGATTGATGTTGATTGGACCGCAACGCTGCGAGCTGCGATGCGATCAATGTAGAACCAGCTTTAGGTTTGTTCGCGTCGCGTGCTCCAACACGTTCCAATGGGTGTGTTCAGCAGAAAAAGCAGCTTTGCAACTGTTATAAAATTCTTCAATATGGGCTGCGGTCCACTTGACGCTATAAACGCTTCGCAGCATTCTTTGATTAGTCAATTCGTAAAATTCTTTGTTCTGATTGGTCGCTCAAATGTTCGAAGCGTTTGTAGCGTCAAGTGGACCACAGCCATGACGAACGCAGCCAATATGCTCCTAGTATAGCTCTTATTCACTCCAACGCACTTGACAGAGCGAGTAGGAGCTATGGTAGGAGCATGTTGGAACATATTGGAGCTTGTGATGCGACAAACCTCGAATCTTGTATATCACTTGATTGGTGCGTTCAGGGAGACGCTATTAGCGCTACTCTGTCATTCTATCTTCGTTGTTTATTAGACGTAAAACAAGGATAGAATGACAGAATAGCGCTAATAGCGACTCCCTGAACGCACCTGATATATGCGTCGCGTTTATACCTGTGTGTGTGTATGTGTGTGTGTGTTGTGTGTACATACGTGATTCGTTGCATTATATATATATATATATATACACACAACCGTGATACATATATAGGCATAGTGGAGTCCCAGAGATTCTTGTGTTTATTAATAATTTCTCTCGACATTGTATAAAATAGAGCCAGAAACGGTTTAGAATTGGCATAATTAGAGATCGTTAATCAGAATCTTTCGTGTTCTGTTTTTTTTTTTTAATCTGACGATCGGACGATTGCAACTTGGAACTTAATTGTGGCGGCTCTTTGCAAAATGCACATAAAGTTGGTAGAGATATATTCTTGAAGAAAAAGAGTCCGGTTCCTCGACTTAGTTAATTATTCCGAAAAATACAAGAACAAATTTATCTCATACTTCAACTGTTAAAATGGCTGCATCCTTGTCAGGTGAGTTGTGAATTTGTTTTATAACGATTTGCAATTTGTAAAATTATTAATTTAAAACGGTTGAAAACTGCATAAACAGTAAATAATGCCATCTTCTATTCGTACTAAATGACCTAGTAGTTTAAAAGTTACATCCATGACTTATACATTTTGTTTGTAAATTTGTTTGCTTAAAGTATCTTTTACAAGTTTTACATATACTTTTACTTCTTTAACATATAATTGTATATCAATTATTTTATAGCTTATTGGGTAAAGTTCTTCAAAGGGGCTGGATTTTCTCAAGATGTGGCCACTAAGCATGCAGTTGTGTTCTCAAACAATCGTATTAAACCAGATATGTTGCCAGATTTGGATAAACCTAGTCTCAAAGAAATGGGTATCATGTTAATGGGCGATATGATTGCTATTTTAAGATATGCCAAGAAAGTAGTGGAAGAAACAACCTGTGAGAGATTTTTAGTTGATTCAGAAGACACACTTCCAACTCCAAAGATTTCTGTTCCAAAACCTATTATGAAAAAAGGAAGCAAGGAAATTGGAAATAAGACTATGGTTTTAGCAGCATCTAAAACAGACTCTACAAAGAAGATAGTTAAACCTTTATCTACGACAAAAAAGATTCTGACTATAAGGAAGCCAATTTCTGTCCCAGTTACCACTAATACTGTTAACCAAAAGCCGATATCTGTCAAAAGAAAATTGGCATCAGAAGAAGTATATCAAGATAATGATGATGATAATTGGAATATCTCAGAAAAAAAAGTAAAAACAACAAACGGTAGTGAAGATAATACCGAATACACTGTCGCGACACCGAAGACAACAACGGTAAGAACTCAGGTACTTAAAAAACCTGTTGAACAAAAACGAACAGTATTTGATAGATTAGGCGATAGCTCAGTTACGAGCACAACTAATTTAGTTGATACGACGCCTACTTTCAATATTACTGGAGTCGGTAAAGAAGTATTTAAGAGATCTACTAGTGTTTTTAAGCGTCTCGGTGACATAGACGATAAGAAGGATCAGATGACTATAGGAATACTTAAGAATGGATCAAGCACTATCAGTACACCAGGCATACTGAAAAACCGAACATTACCTAGCATACGCACGTCAATTGTAACGATGAAGAGAGTCGTGCCTAAAATTACTGGCACTATGCATGCCGATCACGAAGTTAACAAGAAGATTACTTTGAATAATACAAGTCGTATACTGAAGCTGAAAAAGGAAGTACCTAATGTTAAATCGAGCATTGAAAGTATTTCCAAAAAAATATCTACAGTTACATCAGGCAAGTTAGGTTTGTATATGTTATATAAATTTTACTAGTATATAGGTAATAGTGTAAAAATGAATAGTTTTTCTCGATTTTATTATTGCAGCTTCGGAACGACTTGTCTCAATACCAGCCAAAGCACGCTTGGGTACAACCACTGCCAAACAAGTGACTTTCAGTAAAGTGGCAACAGTAACACATGTCAAAAGGGCAGATGTTTTCAGTCGCTTGGGCATTTAAGTTTGGCTTGATTCCCCTATCAGTCGCGAACAAACAATGGTTGATTTGTTATTTGTATAAAGTTAGAGTTTTCCAAACCAACTGCAATGATTTTGATTAATGCTAATCAAGTGATTGATTGGACTTTCTTTTTATTACGAATGGGTATATCCAGAGGGTGCTTTCCAATTGTAAAATCATTAGACACTTTTGTGCACACGGTGACATAAGTTATGTTCCAATTGATGTAATCGTCAATACAACATTCGCATTCAGCCAGTAGGCTACTAGTCGGTTGTATAAGCTTGTGTTTTCTAGTAACCACTTACATGTTATTAACCGCGGCATCCATAAATAAAGTTGGAGGGCATTGAGTGATTGGCATTTTTGCTTTTTTTTATTCCATGAAGATGGTAAAAGCTAAATTTAATCTAATTCTATTCGAAACGGACTGAAACTGTATACGACGTATACATTCTGTCCTAATTGTGCATAATGCTACACTTTGTGCATTCCTGTGTATGTTAGTGTTAAGATGTGTTAAGCAATTGGAAAGCACTCAGAGTTGCTTGCAAGGCTATTGCAAGGCTATTGTGAATGACGTATAGAATGTAAATATAACAGACTTACGATTAGATTTATAATTTAGTGACGCCATGAATTGCTCGGTCATAAAGAAAGAACTCAAATTGTATGCTATAATCTGTAATGCAATGTATTTTTTTATTTAGAAATTTCTGAAAAATTCAAAATTCTACTTTTTTGTTTTTTTTTTATTTAAGACATTTTAAGAGATGATTCAATTTTGTATAAAGATGAAATAACTAAGATCATATTCTATAAGATACAATTGTATTTTAAACTTGGATTTATGTGTAGCCTTTTTGACTTTAAGGAAAAAGAAAAAGTTTTATAAAGTATCGTTTTTCCTATACTATATTGCTTTCTATGTTTTATAATACTCTGAGATAACGACATATACAAATACAAATGTATAGACGGGTAATTAGATTTATTATATTTTGAGAAACGATTTGTTATATTTTTACTAACTGTATTTTCTATAACTTAATTCAACACCTTTTTATTCTTCCTGCATACAATAAACATTTATTTGTTTTATAATACATAAATGTTGGTAAATGAAAAAAGAATAATCTGCCAAAAGTGTCCTATAATATTCTATTAGCAACGTTTATCGATATTTTAAGTAATTGATAAGTATGACTTGTGATAATAACAGATTGATGTAATTATATAAGTGTTTTGTATAACTGGACCATTGCCATATAATATTAATTTGTTGCTATTTTATATTTCGTAAGTGAATGTTGAAAAATTTATTTTTATAAGATTTCTGATGATAAATCTAAACAAAGTTAGAGAGAGAGAGAAAGAGGACGAGTGCTTACAAAATATTAACAAAAACGCTTGTTTGATATATCAACAAAAAGTGCAAGATATTCATCAATGAACGTTTGGGTTTTTCATTATTTTAAAGTTTTAAGATCTAAGGAGAGAATTAGTGTACTTTTCAGTAAATATCTATATGGAAGCAATAACCTTTTCATAATCTTTATTATAAAAAGCTTAATATTAATGATTAGTACATTTTTATAATTTTCTATTCATTTCCATAAAAAATTGTCAAGAAAACCCCAGTAAATACACGCGAAAATATATTTCTTTTTTTAAAAGTATGTTCATTTTTATCAGTATATGTATATAGAGTAACTTATTTAATCTCTGTTTAATTTACATTTACTCCTTATCTTTCTCTAATTAGAACGCGGCCTAAATGCACGGTGTAAACGTAGCCAAATTCTGATTCCGGCCTAAGGGTGAAATCACACGGTGTGGAAAAAGACTGCGGAATAGAGAATGCGTCATTGAAGCAACCAATCAACGGCTGCGTTCAGCAGAACGGTTGTTTTGCAACTGTTGGAAGTTTCCTTCGCGCTAATTGGATCATACTTTTAGATCTAGAAGAATGGTCCTATCTCAGCAGACAATCATAAAACGGTTGCAAAACTGTTGAGTCTGCTGAACGCAGCCAACGCTATTCAGCGCTATTCGGAATAGCGCTGATTGGTTGCTTCAATGACGCATTCTCTATTCCGAAGTCTTTTTCCGCACCGTGTGATTTCACCCTAAGATTCTAAAAAGTATATCGACAGGGGCGTTTTTAACGTCGGTGCGACGCAGGTCCCGGTGGTGAACATTCATGAATTTTTTTAAATATAGAATTATAAAGAAAAATACATTTTAAATGTGGCACTCAAATATTTATACGTCATAAACGAATTTTCCTTACATTTCTTTAGCTTTAAGCGAACATTTCTATATGAAAATACTCGCAATACTTCGGAATCGAAAACTGGGAGAACAAGAGAGGAACAAAATGTAATGGTCAAACTGTAGAATGCATTCCATTTAACCCATACAACACAGAATTTGCAGTAATATCGCTGCAATAATGCTGCAATATTGCTGCAATGTTGCGGCATTGTTGCTGCAACTTTTGTGCTGTAGGGGAAGGTTCGCATCGCTCGTGTACATCTAACATTTGATAACATGAGTGAAATGATGTTCGCAAGGATTTATGGACATCTTCTACCATTTCATCGTCGACACTTGTTCGTATTCGAAAAGATATGCTGTATAGAAATTGCCTTGAATCAATAGTAATGCCCGGGCCCTGTCCTTCCATCGACGTTTTAACAGCCTTAAAAATGCCACTGCCTATCGATCGGTTGATATATAATTTGAGTTAAACAATTATTTATATATATATATATATATATAAAATCAATAATATAATAAATTATAATATATTACAATAATTATACATTCATTATTAAACGCTGTGTAAATAAGCATACACATTGCAAATAGTATCTTTTTCTATTGATTATTAGTCGATGATGTATGAATGATGGAACGCAGTGTCCATAACAATAGAAGTGCAATTTTATAAATAAAAATGGAACATTATATTATTACCGGGCCCGCTTGATAATAAAAACTTTTCTCAGGATTATTCATTAATAAATACTTGGTCAGTCCGTTCCAACTTCTGGTACTGTTCCAAGTAGTCCAAATCGAGCAGGAGCGAACGCGAACAAGCACGAATGAAGAATTACGAACGAACTCGACGACTGATATTGCGAGTACAAACGAGCCCAAATGAACATCGACGAATACGTTCCGTCTCCGTCTTTCTTGTCGATATGTTTATCAAAGAAAAAACATTCGGTGCGGTGCTGAAGAACTTGTATTGTTACCTATTGTTAGTGGCAAAGTGTTTGTCTGTCAAGTGGAAGATACGGATTCGGCTCCCTAATACTACAATAGGATCTTTTTGAAAGGAAACATTAATCCACTTTAATAAACACATAATTATCCAAAAACAAATCCAATGTAATTCAGCAATATATATTGTGTGATACTGTATTATCAAATCTCGTCATAAATCATGATACTTTATCCCAATAGGACGGAAATCTATAATAGAAAGGAGGAAAGCACTTGTTCGTGATCGTTCATGTTTGATTAGTCTGAATGGGTTAACACTGGTTAACACGTTTTCTCTCAGTCGAGACATTCGTAAGACTCGACCTTCATTGAAGTCTACTCTGTTTTATACATTAAATGTACATAATACAAATATATATATATAATACATATATATAATTTTTACAATATATATATATATATAATATAAATTATTAAATTATAATAAAATCACAATAAAAATAATAAATATATTATGAAATGTTAGTGAAATATAATGGAGTGGCCAAACGATAAAGCTTTATTATTTATTAATGAAATTGAAAGTTTACCGATTTTATGGGATTCTTCAGATCCATATTACAAAATTAGTAGGAAAAAAAATGAGACGTGGGAAAATCTTGCCAACAAATTCTGTACAACAATACTAGATGTTAAAAAGAAATGGCTTTCGTTACAGGTAAACAAATGTATTTGATTTTTATATACCAATAGTATTTATTGCAAAAAGTAATTATAACTTTGAGAATTATACATAATTATTTTTTATTCAATGAGTTTAGCATAAGTCAGTCTTTAATTATTGGTAATGAATCTATGAGTACTTTTTCTAGGCGTCATACAGAAGAGAGAGAATTAAGATGATTGATTCTGCAAAGGGAACTGAGAAAAAAGTATCGTCAAAATGGTTTGCATATCGTGCAATGATGTTCTTGGGAGATCATTATAAACCAAGAGGGATAAGAGATACTTCTGAGGTAAAATAAACATACATTTATGGTTAATAAATTTCTTTTAATTTAATAATTTTAAAAGTAAAATTATTATACGCTCAACCTTAGTATATCTTCTCTTTTTAGAGTAGATTATGGCCGGTATTCATAGTCGGTTCTTATTTCAAGACCATCTTAAGTAATGTTTTAAGACGCTAATGCGACTCTTTGATTAGTTTATGACACCTCAAGGCTGAACTTAAGACGGTCTTAAATATAAGATCTGACTATGAATACCGGCCTATGAATTTTCGTAAACTTTTTTTTTTAGAAAAAATAAACTTAATTCTCCAGCATTATTTTTCCTTCGAACCATATTATTATTTGTTTATTCTACTCTTCAAATATTATATCATTCAGTAACAGAATTTTATATCTAGAATATAAAATTAATTATATATAAATACTGTTAAATACAATTTTTAGTAATATAACTTATCAAAATAAATTACTAAATAAATTGTATCAAAATAATTATAATGTATATTTATGGTAATATTGTTGTTATTTCAGACTTCTGAAACATGTCAACAGGAAGAAAGTAGAGAATGTAAGAATCAAGAAGGTATTAATGAAACAGAAATAACATGTCCGAAAGTAGAAGCTACATTACACGAACCAGAGAGAAGTGTACGGCTGCGTGATACTTCGTTGCGAAGAAAACATTTGAAAATGTTTTATTCTCCAGAATTAAGTAGCCCAAAGAAAAGAAAGATTAATGAAGATAAACCAAGTGAAATGTATATTTTAAAGGCTACTGTTGCAGAAAAAGAATATCAAAGAGATGAAAATGAAACTTATGGTGAATACGTGGCACTGACACTGAAGAAATTAGATAATTATTCACGTATAATGGCTAAACATTACATCAACGAGATTCTTATAGAAGCAGAATTAGGGAAATACAAAGATTCGATTCCTCAAAGATCGCCTACACCCACAACCTATTCTGCTATTTCACCATTGCTTTCTGTATATTCGTACCAATCCGGAGGTTCCAATAACGTGGTTTCTTCTGAACCGAATCTGTGATCATATGATGAATCAGTAGCATTAAAAAATTATTTCTTTCTCTCAGTGTATCGTCTTTTGTCAGTGGTGATCTCTTCTGCATGTCCATCTGATATCCACTGATATGTGGGACCTACAGTTCTTAACACCGAATGGCCCATGGTGGAAGAAATACTCCGTCCACCATGGAACGGCCTATCGAATGATTTGTCATTGTCTTGGTGACGATCAAAGTGACGATCAAATAAAATCTGATATATGTGGATTTAAATCTCATAGCAGCCAGCTCTATGCCACAAAGTTATTTAACACGATTTTAATCATTTCTATTTTCTGCAAGCTTTTGTTGAAATACATATCGTTTTCTCATTTTCATAATTACTTTTGTAATTAATTTCTTAGAAATAATTCTTATTAACATATGTATAAACTATATTTGCAAATTTTTTTTTTAAATAAAATTGTTCTAAAAAGAAATAAAATATTTTTATTAAAAAAGCTAGATAAATTTATCTGATAGAACTTTTGCAAGAGTTTCACACACTTTAGAAATAATTTGAGATGAAGTCTTGCTAAGTGATTCTTATAGTTAAACTAATAGCCTTTTCAATTTGCTGACTCGATTCGAGTCGAGTCAGTAAATTGAAGACACCTGTAAGCCCCTTTTTTCAATAGAAATTACTGTTCTATAATTAGTATCTTGATTATATATTTTTAAAGAGATGAATTATATTAATTTTTTAAGCTCCTTGATATAAATTTATGTTTGTAAAACTTTCGAAGCTCTCTCCTACAAAAGTAAATATAAAAAATTGCGTCAACTAAGAAAATATAAAGTTATAATACGTAATTCAAATGTTTTACATTAATGTTTCAACAGCCAACGAATTTCGTTATATTTTACGCTCTTAAGCATTTTAAATATATGTATTTTAATATAATTGTGAAATCTATAAAATATATTTTTATATATCGATTTTTACAAAGAGTTTTTAAATACGAATATGTATATTAGTAGCGTAGTAACGTTTTAATAATGTCTTATTAAAGTCATTAAAGTCATTTGACGTCACCTTGATACTTTCGATGCGACAAAATCATATTTATGTATCAAAGAAAGTGATAATATGAAATTAATATAATAATAATAATATAAAATATCTAAATAATTAATTAATGCATTAATTTTTTCAATTTATTATCCATGTAGATACTTCATAGATATAAATGTGCATATCTCTTGCAATAAAAATCTGCTCGATTTGCTGGCGAACTGCTTGTATATTGCTTTTTACTATAATATTTTGCCTTGGATACATTTATGGAACGCGATAATATTCTATTTTCATTTAAAATATGCATTGTGTTATCCATGGTATTGATTACTATTAAAAACATAGTTTTGTAGCAACACGATATATTATTGGATTGCATGCCTATTTATGCATTTATATAATAATATTATCAATCGTAAATTTAATACTCCATTATTGACTAATAGAGTCTGATGTCCAAATATTGAACGGTTGAAACGGTCGATAATGTCTGTACCCTTCAGTTACCTCCGAGTTCACTTCATCATGAAAATTTATCCGGGGCTGGCCGTCTTTAATAGTACCTTATCGGTGTCTAGACTCATTTTTGTTCGTCGTAAATGTTCGTTTATGATTGCAGTCCTTGTTAGTTGATCTCGAGTCAGCTTTTAATTAACTTTCTTTAATAGTACGTACCTTGTCCAGTGTATGTGTCGAATCGCCGATTGTTCAAAAGGGAAAAGAAACAACGCGTGGACATGAATGTACATACATACATACGTGTCAATAATTCGCATATATTATAGATCCGTATTCTCAAATAGAGCTTCTCTTGTTTTCCTATAGAAATCTGTGAGGCTGATATTTTTGGTAAAGAAAGTGTACGACAAGAACTGTCTTTGAGTATGCAAGCATCTTATTTTTCCATTGTTGATAGGATTATAATTATGCAATCTGAAGCTGCATCATGAAAGAAATGACGATTGATTTAAAAGAAACGGTTATATTTAAAGTTTAGAAGCAGTTTTTGCTACAGATGCATGTCTATATCAAAAATTCTTACACACGAAATTATTTAAGTGCAAAAGCATAACATAAGTATTTTAATTATTAAAAATACAACATTTTCCAAAATTATTAAATATTATGTATTTGCTCAGTTAAGATAAAGATCTGTATATAGATCTGTTCGTTATATTCGTATTCCATATAATATTTTGCATTTGAAAGAAGATGAATATTTATTTGGCCGTTAGAGAGAGAAAGGGCGACGAATCGAGTGCAGAAGGTGCAGGTGAAATGAATGAACCGCATGTTGTGCTTTTGTATTTTATACGTACGTAGCAAGCTAGCAAGTCTTTATTATGCACCAGGAGCGTAACAATAGGCACCCGACATCCGAATTTGCTAATAATTATTCTTTGTTTTCTATCATAATTTATGTTCTACTATACAATTAATAAGTATCACGATTTATAATTAGATCTGATATTTGAGATTATTATTATTTTTATTATTGTATTTTCATTAATGCAGTTTCAGTTGGATTTATTTATATTTTTTAATACTTGTGTCTATTTTTTATTAATATTTTTCCTTTTAAAATTATATTTATAATATACGTCATAGGCCCGTTTCTACCAACATAGATTAACTTTAATCTTGGTTCAACTTACTCTTCATCTTTTTCTAATTTCTAAAAGTAGAAAGGGATGAAGAGTTAGTTGAACCAAGATTAAAGTTAATCTATATTGATAGAAACGGGCCATAATCGGAATTTGAGTCTTTTGCGTGACAAGAGCGGCTGTTTTATCGCTAACAAGTAACGATAATCTATCCAACAGATTTAGCAATTAGTCATCCTAGATTATAAGATTTTTCAACACATGCGCATCTCCACTATTTTTGTACGCATATATGCGTATTATATAGTCGATTGCATGACTTGTTAAAATGACCTATTTAACCAACTTGTGCAAAGTAGGACAGTTTTTTTTGGATTCTTGAGAAAAATTTTGAATATTTTTTTCTATAAAAATATGTTATATTAAAATAACTTGATATCAATATAAGCACTTTTTAAAAAAATATTTTATTTCGTTAAATATTATTCCTTTTAATATTATTTCCTTAAATTATTTAAAACAAGGGTTTTTATATTATTACTAATACATACTTTTAATATTATTTTTATTATAATATAATTATATTATAAAAATAACATAATTATATTATAATTTTTGATAAAAATCTACATTTGTCTTTTGATTTTATTTGTATGACAGATTTGTATTTACAATTCGAACGCAATTTGATTGGAGATTTTTGTACCTCAACAAATCTAGGGCGATATTTGAACAGATAGTCAAATCTGTCGAAAATAGATTTTGCAAAGTGTCTACTACGAATTTTATCGGCAAAATGCCAGCAGAAATAATGCCAATAGAATTTGTTACGGAATATGATGATAAATTGACAGAAAACGAGCAAAATTGGTCATTTTAGGACTCTTTAAACATATTCTATTTAAAAATTGTTCAAAATGACAGATTTTGCTTGATTTTCTCTGGCAATCTGTTAACATTAACTTTTCGCTTATTGAGTATAATCAGATTTTATTATTTAAGATTTTAAGTCAGATTTTTTATAAATAAAACTTAATAAGATTTCAAGTACGGTTTTATATATGTTTGTATAAGTACGATTTTGAGCTGTACAATCATTTCTTTCTTCTTTTCTCTTCTTTATTAAGGATTCCGAACTCCATACAAGTTCGATACAGTCAGTGAAATCAATAAAAAAATATATAACTCGGTAAAAAATTTTTCATTCATCAACATATATAAATATATCTAAATATACATAAACATGTATAAATATATATAAACATATATAATATATTATATATATGAAGATGTCCATATACATTCTTCTTTCTTTTGTAAAATTACTGTTTAGTCTAACAAAAATAATAATAATAATGAGAAAAAAACATAACAAATAATTATAAAAGGCTAATTTTCGTATTATTTCTTTTAGGGAAAAATAAGTTTGGAAAAATGTAGAAAAATTGTTCGCAATTATATATAATAATTTATTTATAATTACGTATGAGTAATTTTGTTCCATTTCTCCAAACTTAATTTTTTTAAAAAGAAATAATATGCAAATTATCCTTTTAATTATTTTTTATTTTTCTCATTATTATTATTATTTTTCTTATACTAAACAGTAATTTTACAAAAGAAAGAAGAATGTATGGACACATTTCATATATACTTATATATGTTTATGTTATATATATTTAGATATATTTATACATAAAAAATTTTTTACCGAGAATATATTCAAATAACGGTGCTATTCATTTATACAAGTCGACGCAAATGGACATAAATATCAGTCTATCTTTCTTAACATTCAGTGAGTAACAAAAGGTGTTTTCTATTTCTAAAAATTCAAAAAAGATGAAGAATAAATGAATCCGAAATCGAAGTTAATTTACATACATTGGTGAAAACAAGCATTCAAAAGTTGACACAAACATCATTCTAACTTTCTTATATTTCGTAAATAAGAAAGACAATACGATTCGTGTATCGACTTATATCATTAAATGAAAAGCATTCAAATATAGAATAACACTTGTGTTGATTTGTATCGTTACCAAATGGAAAGCACTCTAAAGTGTTTTTAGTACAAGATATAAATATTTGTAGAAATAACAGTCATTAAAGTTACGATTACTTTGGTTAGAAACTTTTAAAAATTTTTATCTCGATCTTTTTTGGACAACAATCATGTATATAAAAAAAACTTTTCCTATAAGGCGGAAACTTTCCTTAAGATGAAAAATGAAAATTTGTTGAAGGTTAAAATTTTTCATATTTTTATTCAAGAAAGATTAAAGTTATATAATTTTTACTACTATTATTCTGACGCAATTCACGATTATTTCACTGAAACCTTATATCGACAATGCCAGAAATCGTTTTGAGAATAAATTAACAAATCACATTTGAATTCGGCTGCTTGACTAATGATTAGTCAATTAAGTCAATTTTTTCTTCAGATATCGCAATAATTTTTAGCATCGTGGACATTCAGGTCATCCAAGATCAATTAAGATTAAATATTATAATCTTATTTAAATATAATAAGACTATCCTGGCGAAAATAAAAATTGTAGCTTCTAGAAGATGAAAATTAGAGGCGTTTATTCTTTTTTTACGTTTTGTTTTCAAGATTTTTGCTCTCTAGAAGTTTCTTTACGCTTTTGTCGCTAACCACTCCAGTCTTCATTTTACTTATTTATAACCTACGTTAGCGTTGGTAAATGAATAAGTGTTATAATCGAATGTGTGAAATTAGTCTATTAATACCAACAATTCTTTAATTACTGAAACAATGAACTGCAGTTTCAATTCGAACGTTAAAGTTTCGAAGAAATAAACAAATAAATATTAATTATCTGTATTATATTTATGCTTATTATATGCTTGCTTGTAATAATCTTGTTTAAAGAATGCAATAATTTGTACTCATTTCCCGGTTTTCTCGAAATCTTGCAAATATTAAAATAACATTTATATCGGAAGATTAAGGAAATTATAGAAACCGTGTGAGGAATAAAATAAAAATTGGTAAAAAAATAAAATTTCTTTGTCATATTAAGCCTACAATTAACAAACAAGATTTATTTATGAAACATGTTGTTGACACGTATGAATCGATATGAACTTGATGTCGGGCACAAAAAAATAAAGCGTAATATTTTTGCTCGTTTGAGATTTATGCCCAAGGATTTTTATTCGAGATAACTGTGTGTAATGTATAATCTACAGCGCGAGGTCTAGTGACTTTTTCTTGAATCACGAATCAGGTTTTAGCGTTCGCGGAGCGGTGGAACCCCGATAATACCCATAAGCTTTTCGGCAGGGGATACGCTACTGCACTGCGCCGCTCAGAAGTGAGCATGCGTAGAAAAATTCTACGATTTAGGATCACTGCCCTTCACTCATTCGCGCACGGTGAATCGTAGGTGTTCCTCTTAACTAGGGTTTGCTACATTAATTTCGCACGCAAAACGCTGGCCCTTCACTGAAGATTCATTAATGGTCTTGCCATATATTTTGCTCACGTGCCCGGCGGTGTAAATAAAATATGGAGACGTACGAGAATCAAGTGCAAGAAAAACCGCAGGATGGAGGTAAAAATTTCGTAACTATACTCGTTCGTTTTAAATTTCGCGTACACATGAAATTTCCTCACACATGTGAAATTTATGGCTTCTCCTAACGTCAGAATTGCATGCGATTGTCAAGTTACCGCGCGTAACTCTTTTTTTTACGTAGCTTTAACGTTTATTACTTTCCAATAAAGGTAGATGTGGATTATAGACATAATAGACAACATGGTAGTTGAACGCGTTTTTAAATGAAACTTTGAGGAAGTAAATTACGTGCGTCGTACACAGAAAAAATCCACGTATTATGATAATTAACTGTTAAAGAGCACGTGTTGTATTGTTTTCGCTTAGTCTTATATGTTTTCGTGTCGTTCCGAATGTAATTCAATTCTCTATCTGTTCTCAATTAACAATTCAGAAAATGGCGTTTTGCGCGTCAATAATAGCTGATAAAAACACGTCGGAGTAAAAAAATTATTAATTCGCAAACTTATATGTTTTCGTTTATAATAATTTATAGTTGTTATTATAATTATGTTAATATATGAATTAATATATCGATTTAATGGAAATGTATAATTAATGTGATTTTTAAATAAAAATTAATTTATTTTTTTAAATTAATACATTCTTAAAAAATATAATTTTACTATATTATTATATTTTCTACATGTTGTTTAATAAATAATGTCAGCATTTTTTTGTAAAAAAAATATATACATTTTTATTTATATATATTAAATATAATATAAAGTTTTTGCCATAATGATATTTTATCAAGATAAAAAAAATTACAGTTTGCTATATATATTTATAAATTCAGATAGTAATATTTATACCATATCAAATTTTACATTTTAGAATATGGATTTGTTTGGCAAGACTATCTTGATGCCACAAACAGCGTGGAAGTTCCACAAATTGTGTTTCCTCATGTGGAGCTGACATTGCAGAACAGTATTGAGGTGGGCATGTCACTAGAGGTACCAGTACAAAAAAATAATGCTGAGGAAGAGCAGTCATATTGGATAGCTTCTATCGTTATGGCTTGTGGACCCTTATTGCGATTACGTTACTTTGGTGGTGATGATAGATCTTTAGAATTTTGGTTTAATCTTACAAAAGAGGCTGGCCATGAACTTGGTTGGAGTGTGAAAAATAATAAGAAATTAAAACCACCTGATGTTATACTTAAGAGATCACCAGATTGTGTTGACAAACTGCAAGAATTTCTGGTGACTGCACGTACACTCCCACCTGAGATGTTGACAGGGGTAAGATACTAATATTTCTAGAATATAGCACTGTAATTAATACTTTAATTTAATATATTACTCATTTTTCCTTTATAGGATGGCTTAAGTATGACAGAAAGGATAAAACAGGGTATGAAAGTTGAAATAAGTGACGTGCTGCATCCATACAAGTTATGGGTAGCTACGGTAAGAAGTTATAGAATTAGAAATTCATAAAGAAAAAAGTAATCTTATTTAAAACTTGTAAAACACAGTTAAAAAATAAAAAATATAATTCTTGTATAATTATTATACAATAAGAAATAGCAAAGTGTTTACTTTTCTTTGCTCTAATAACTAAGAATACTTACATGTGATGGTCTTGAAAATATTTAATGGATCTTTTTTTTTTCTAGATCATTGAAAACGTTGGAGGACGTCTTTTATTGAAATATGATACTCCAGAATCTACTCGTGAAGACTTCTGGATATTTTGTACATCTGAGCGTTTACATCCGTATGGATTTACGTCTAAATCAAATTCCACTTGGTTTTTGGAACCACCTAGTTCGATAATTGATATACATACATATGAAGAATGGAAGGATTTGTTAGAATCTAAACCGAAAGATTGTGAGCTAGAGCGAGATTTATTTAATAATAATATAGATCATTCAAAGCATAGTTTTGAAGTTGGAATGAAACTGGAAGCTTTGCATCCAGCAGATCGAATAAAAATTTGTCCTGCTACTGTAACGAAAGTATTTGATGATGTATATTTTCTTGTGAATATTGATTTACATTCTGAATCTTTAAACGGATCAAATAATACGCTTGTCTCTAACAATTCACCTTCAGAAAATGATACATGGTTGTGCACTGTAGACCATCCATATATATTTCCAATTGGATGGGCGCAAAAGAACGATATTATGTAAGTATCAAATAAATATAATATAATGAGTACGTTAATCTTAAAATAATTTATTTCATTAAAATTCTTTAAAGATATACTGTTACATATAATCGCATAAACTATTTGAATATTTTTGTATACAATTCTTTGAGCTTGACATTATTTTTCCTGCTACCCATCCACAAGGTTGGACTTCAAAGACGGGAGATTTTGATTGGAATGAATACTTGGAAGCACTTCATGCTAGCGCAGCGCCTGAAAATTCATTTAGCGAACGTGCGAGTGCTATTGAGGCAGGCTTTGAATGTGACATGAGATTGGAGGCTGTTGATCCAGAACATGAACATATAATATGCGCAGCCCATATTAATAAAATCGTTGACAATCTGTTATGGATAAAATTAGATAACGACAAGTACTTTCGGCCGGATCACATAGTCGACATACATTCCTTGCATATATTTCCTGTCGGATGGTGCGAATCTAATCACTATTCGTTAAAACCACCGCATGACTACATAGAAATCTGTAAAAAACTAGAAACGTCTGCAAAGGAGAAGAAGAAAAACAACGTCTTGGACATACCGATATCGGAACCACGCTCTTCACTTTGGTGTCCAAAGATATATTTTAATTATCGATGTTTCACAGGTCCCATGATATCAAAGGGTAAATTAGCGACTCTTCCAAAATCAGTGGGACCTGGACCTGTTATACTAGTCATGCGGGAAGTTTTATCAATGATAGTATCTGTTGGCTATAGAAGTGCTAGAATTTTGAAGGTTTTGCAATGTGATACCAAGCCAGATCCCGGTTATCATTTAGAAGTCTTGAAGGCAAAGCACAAAAATAACACATATCGTGCGAGTGTAGCTATTGTTACATCCGGTGACAGGGTAGCAGATTTCTGCAGAAATACTTGTAAAAAATTAATGGTATGTCCAAATTTATTCGGTCCGCTGCATATATCAGAAAACGAATGTCCAGATGAATGTTATAAAACGTCAAAAACAAAATATAGTAAGTAACTGAATATTTTAAAAAAGTTGTGTTGCATATATGTAAACTCATTTTTATTTATAACATGTAATTAATATATAAAATGCACATACACACATATTTACTATTGATATTTTAAATTTTCAGCAGCATCGATTGGAACTGGAAAAAGAGGAAAACCGAAAGGATATACGAGCATCATGGTGCAAAAACCGAAACCTTGGGGTAGAAAACGTAAAAGACGACGTGGCAGATGGGCACAAAAACACAAGGAGGTTCATGAAGAATATGATCAAGAAGATGAACTGCCATTTATATCGTTAGATCTGGCAAAGCACATCTCGGAAAATCTCATTGAAGAAGAATTTGAGGGAAGACAACCGCTCTCAGAAATAGATATCATGATACAGAAAGGTTTAGAGAAATCCGACAAATCAGATGAAGTTAAAACTGATATGGCTTCCAGTAATATTTCAGAGGATTCTGGCAGTTCATTCAACGATGGAAAGCCCAAGGATCAAGAATTGTCTCCAAATTTAAATTTAAACCAACACTCCACAAGACTCAGTCAAGGCACAGGAATCACTAGAGGGACTAAAAGAGATTGGGACACAAGCATAGAATCTGATTGTTCAGAAGCAGATGCTGAATATGTGAGAATGCAAAAGACCCAACGACGACCGAAGACTCGGAAGCTCGATTCAAATCCGTTATATTGGAGCGTAGATGATGTGTTTCGATATCTCAGAAAAACAAACGACTGCAAGGATATTGCATATCGCATCAAGGAAGAAGTGAGTTGAGTATACATGTATCTTAATTTTGAAAATTAAAATTTTAATTACGATTATAATTAAAAGTAATATCTCTCTGTTCATTAGGAAATTGATGGTCTTGCGTTCTTGTTGCTGAATCTCCCTTCCCTTACTCAGCATATGAAACTGCGAACGAGTTTAGCCATGAAAATATGTCGACACGTTGAACAAGTCAAAGTTACATTTTTCTTACGACATATTCATGAAGTAGAACCAGAACAATATCAAATTGTTTAATTGATTTGATATAATCAATAAAACCTTCCTTTATTCACAATGTATATACGATATAGCTATGTTAGAATTGACTAAATTGACAAATTTAAGAATTTAGAATTCAATTAGGATCTTCAATGAAAAAGTTTTATGTCTCTTATGTCGTATTGATATTTATTGCTGTTTCATTTTTATTTATTGTTAACAGCTTTCTCTAAGATGTATATTTGCATCAATAATATTAAAATGCTTCTCAATTTGTGATATTACTACTCCAGCTTCAGGGACTGTGTTTCAAGACCAATAAATAATAGGCGCACAGTTTAACTTGAACTGAAAATTGTATTTATTCACAATATTATTAGGCACGAAGAACTGTCTTGACATGAATATGGCATTTTCCATTCATGTGTGTTCATTTTTATTTTAGTCATAATTATACAAAGTTGTTTTTTTTTTAAACTCGGAAGATTTCATGAAAAGTACAAGGATTATGATCAAATTGATCAATTTGTATATAAAGTGATATATGCATGTACTCTTTCGTTTCAAAACATAAGTAATAAAGTAAGAAATGTGTAAAAGAATATTCTTATTCTTTTTTTTACGAATATACAATTTCTATATACAGGATGTTCCAAGAGTAATTATAAATCTTTCGCACAGAGGCAGAAAGGAAACTAAACTCTTCTCTACCATTTTGCAATTTTCGCAATAGTTAACAAGATATTAATTGCTAAAAATTGCCGAAAATTGGTCTTCAATAATTTTTTACTCAAATACAATTAACTTTACAGAAAAACTGCAACAGACAAAAATTGTTTATTTTCTTCTCATAAAATTCTAAGAATTTTTTTTAGAATTAAAGTTTAATCCATTCTGCCCCTGTGCGAAAAATTTATCATTACTTTTAGAATATCCTGTATATAAATTTTAGTTTTAATTAAATTCAAATGTTTCTTTTGTGTGTTTCAATATCAATTATATTTTAAATCCGTATAACAAATCAAACTAACAAAGACTCCTTATAAATCAAAAGAAATTGGAAAGAATAAGGACAATAGAAGTCAGGCGCAGAAGACGTCGCGCAAATAATACACCCATAAAACGTAAAACTTCTTTATTCTACTAAACGCGCTTATATGTTCCGGCTCACTTTTGAGTCTTCTTCAGAGATAACACAAACTAACATGGATAAACAGTGAATAAAAGTTATCTTGTCATGATGAGCTCCCCTACATCGAGAATTTAAATGATAGAAATTAAACCCAAATAAGAATAAAAGAAAAAAGAAAGGAAATATTGGAAATATCGAAATAGAGAATATGGAAAACTAATTTATCAAAAAATTTTAAGATTATAATTATCCCGAAAATAAGGACGCTCACCGTGATCACGAAGCACCATATCGCAAACATTACTATTAATAATTCAAAAACCGGTTCTTGATATGTTGATCAGTCAGTATCAGACATAGTGAGTCACTTTTAAATTTAGCTAGTATTTATCGAGATTACAAATGGAAAAATCTAACATTAAAACGTTAATCAATTCCAAGAAAATAAAAATTGGAAAGTAATTAAAAATTATGCCAGAAAAACTCATTACTATGTACGAGCGACACTGACTAGTTAGGAGCGTCCTTATTTTCGGGATAATTAATTATAATCTTAAAGTTTTTTGATAAATTATTCCATATTCTCTAATATTTCGATATTTCCAATGTTTCCTTTCTTTTTTCTTTTTCTTTCATTCTTATTTGGGTTTAATTTCTGGCATTTAAATTCTCGATGTAGGCGAGCTCACCATGACAAGATAACTTTTATTCACAGTTTATACATGTTAGTTTGTGTTGTCTCTGAAAAAGGCTCAAAAGTGAGCCGAAACATGTAAGCGCGTTTAGTAGAATAAAGAAGTTTTACGCTTTATATATGGGTGTATTATTTGCGCGACGTCTTCTGCGCCTGACTCCTATTGCCTTTATTCTTTCCAATTTCTTTTGAATTATATTTTATATTTTATTACAGTTTGGTGGAGACTTAAATTACAATGCTAAATTTTGTCATTATTTTAGAAGAGCTACTTTAGTATTTAAATTATAATTATTTATTTTTTAAAAATATTTTTAGAAATATGTAACTATATAAGAAATTTTAAAATTAAAATAACGACTAAGATAATGTATATTTAAAAAAAAAAGAAGTAGATCGTATACATAACTCCTAAGATATTTCTTTTCTTTATGTATCAATTTTGTTTTTCACCACATTGTGAAAAAGAAAATTATAATATTAAATTTTATTTATCACAATCTTAGAGTTAAAAGATATTTAAATTAATGTTAATTATTTTATTGTTATAGTTATATTTTATTGTGACGATTTTGGAGTAGAGAGTTACGTGGCTGCTATCTGAAAAGATCTGGATTCAAATCCACCAAGAACATATACATCAGATTTTATTTGATCGTTACCTCTGGGAAGGTAATGGCAAACCACCGAGAGTATTTTTATCGTGACAATTACATTTTTCGATATATGATCGAAATCGACGTTAAAAGCTATAGGTTTCATATAACAGTGGATATATGCAGAAAATGTTTCCAATTTTCTGACAAAAGACGACCGATTTGAAAAACAAAATTAATTATTGAGGAAAACAAAGGCAAAGTAGTATTGCTTTATTTGATGTATAATAAATTTAGCTTTAATGTTTTTATAACTTTTTTGTTCTCAGTCTGTCGTTCTGTTCATGTTATATTTTATTTTTCACAAAAACATGCAGCTACATAGAAAATTTTTATGTTATAATAAAGACTAAAAGTAAAGGATAATATATATTTCAAGAGGCAGACATGAATATATAATTCCTAGATTTTATTTTTAACTGAATCTAGATCTTCTAGATATTTCTTTTGTTTATACATCATATTATATTTTACTTTTCATCATATTGGAAGACTTTTAAATTACAATGCTATTAAATTTGATTTATCATGATCATAAAATTACATTGTACAGCAAAAAATATTTTATATTTGTGTTGGAATGGAACGATCCATTCAAGTTCTTATTAAAATTTTGTATTGAATTTTATCCGAGTGTTAATTTAACATAATGTGATTGTGTTATTTGAATATTTTGTGTTAAATTGACATTCAACATTTCTTAGTGTTAATGTAATACAATGTTAAAATAATACAATTTATGAGTAAATAAAACATAAAAATAATGTTTTTTAAAACGTAAATTCCAAGATAAATAAATAAGATGTATTAATTTAACATATAAATGTTAAATATTGAAACATTTTAATTTTAACATATATTATAAATAAATATTAATTTTAATGAAGAAGTATAATTATCTTACAAATTGTGTCACGTTTTTTGTGTCATTTTTACATAATATTTGTGTTACTGTCTAACATATTCACCTTATATTAAATTAATACAGAAATTTGAATGATTGTTAAATTTAATACAAATTTTCCCCAAACATGAAAGATATTTAAATCAGGGTTGGTAAAAAACATGTTTTAAACGTGTTTTAAACAGTTTAAAACATGCTAAATTAATGTTTTTAATATGTTTTAAATATGTTTTTTTATAGTACTGTTTAAAACATATTTAAGAAGAAACACAGTACGTTTTATTCTTAAAAAAAAACATTAGTATTTACCAACTCTGATTTAAATTATAAGGTCAATTAATTATATATGTTATAAAGACATACATTTAAATTACAGATAACATATACGAATATCGGGGAAGTGTCAATTGAGTCAATTAATTAATCCAAATATTATCGATAATTATCTTTAGAGTTTAAATTACAATATCTCGCCGATAACGAAGTTAAGTATCTCTCGGTATAGTAGATAACGTTACCGACAAAGTAACGGTGCTCTCCACTTCTCTCTCTCTCTCTAAATATATATATATATCTAGTCTTCCTAGACCAGTGAGAAACCCAGAAACACCGAGCGCGGCGTGACGCGTAGAGCGCACACCAATACGCACACAGATAAGACGTTACACGCACAATACGCTGAATAGTGCGGTACCGTACGGTGAGTTACGTGTTCGAGTCGGTGGTTTCCGTAGTCCTTTCGACGATGCCCTGGTGATATCGACGAGGTTTCGGCACCGTGATTGCGCCACCGAATGCCCAAGGATCGGTAAGTCTACGATCAGGCCGACGCAGCCGATGCGTCGCGACGGCGACGTCCGGGCGATCAATGCGATCTCGCGGGTGTGCCCGCTGCCCGCTTTTCGCCCTGCCGTTCCCGTTCCCATTCGTGTTTCTCGTCGCCCGTTTGCCGCGCCGCACCGCACCGCGTCACACCGTAGCGGTCAGTAGTGACAAAATTGCACGCCGTGGAAACGGGACGCCCTCCTGACGACCGGAACGGGACGCGCCCGTTTGATCGCGGGGATTGGTAATTCTAATTAATTCTGATCGCGACATCGTGTTTCCGCTTCGCGAAGGACGACGAGTGAGATCATCGCGGCAAGACGTCGAACGCAATGACGCGTTCCGATCGTCTTGCGAGTGCCTGAATCTTTCTTGAATATCTTCTTTGCGACATTCGAGTGGTTCCACGGGTATCGATGAAACGGTACCCGTTGACGAATACGTGAGAAAATACCCAGCCCCCTTTTGACAGCCTCGTCTCCTTTTTCTTTCTTCTCGTTTTCGTCATCGGCGCCGGGTGCACGCCCATTTTTTTTTTTCGCGTCACCATTGACAACCACCGTCCCACAACATCCCGGCGAATTTGAAAATTTTGGATAATTGGGTCAGCTTCGATCTTGCGGCTGATCGCGCTAAGGGTTTTAAGCGCACGCGCGTGCCCGTGTATGTTTACGTGTGTGCGTGCAATTTTGTGTTTACCGCATCGGCAAAAGCGCCACGGGGTACATGACCGCGGAGTGATGTATGATTAATTGAAGAAAATCAGACCGGGATCTATATATATATAAATATCTCGTCCGTTATCATCGTTCCGGATGCGACGAATTTTTCTATTTATTGATTTTTTTTT